TATATATATATATAACAGTAAACTCTCTGTTATCCGGTATTCAGCTGACCGGAGCTCCCATGTAACCAGCAAAAAATAAATTCTGCCGATTTGCCACCTTCTTGGAGAGGTAGAGCGTGCTCTGGAGCATGGAAAGGTAGAGGAATGGGCTGAAATATGCTGGATTATGCTGGGAATGAGTGTCTGTACGATCTCTGAAAAGTGCTTGGCTATCCTGGAAACCAGTGTGTGATCGATCGTTTGTGAAAGTGCTGTATTATTCTGTAAACAAGCGCCACCTAGTGATCACTCCCAGTACTGCAATGCATTGCTAATGGTTTAAAGTACAATATACTGTTATGGTATAGTATGGGGTATAGCATTAGTTAAACCCATTTTTAATAATAACTCTCAAGCAACCAGAAGCTACATTTATGTGGAATCTACCAATCCCCGAGATGCCAGATAACGGAGAGTTTTGCTGTAATCTAAAATGGTTATATGCCATTTTTAAATGTCATTATTATACCCTTTAGTGTTTAGTGGCCGCTTTGGTGTTAATGACATAATTGCGTCTTTTGTGTTTCTACCCATTCTCCTTAGTCATTTGCATCTTGTGTTATTCTTTCTTACAGTTCACAGCACGCCAGAAAGCATATAACATCGCTAATGAGCTGCTGCAGACTGAGAAAGCCTACGTGTCCCGCTTACATCTCTTGGACCAGGTAAGGAATATGACTGTGCAGTCGATTAGGCACTAGAGATAGACCTGATTCTCTTAGTAATACCACATCTGGTCTGACACACCCCATCTCTTCCATGTGAGGACACTGCTTTTAGAAGGTGTGGCTGTTACTCAGCTATGCCAGCACAGAGAACTGGTGTGGGAAGGCAGGAAGCGGCATTTTTACTAACAGAGAAAAGGTATTTATCTCTTGTTCATTGAAGGACACAGTGGGCATCTTGATCTCTGTACCGATGGGTTATACTGCCACTTGTAGGAGTATTGGTACAGATCAGTGAAGTGCTGTGCCTTCTATGCTGGGTAAGGCATCCCCCAGCCCGCCAAAGCTCCCCACCCGTCATGTAGAAGCTCCACCCCCATCCAGCCAAAGCCCCAGCTCAGTAACCGAGCAGTGTGGACAGGAAGAAGGGAGGAGACAGGGAGGAGCCTCCCAGTCCCTCACTTGCTCGTCACTGCTGAGGCATCGAGATCAATGTCCTCACTGTTTTTTTTTATGATTGGGCAGCTTGGACCAATGGCACTTTGCTATTGGTCCAAGCCATCCACAGAGCTCACGCATCTAACTCAGAGTAGAGGCTGTGGCAGCTCTTGCCTCACTAAGTTAGGTTACACAAGCAGTGGGGAAGCACGATGCTCTGTAACCTAACTACCTGTCAAAAACCGGATGCAGCGCCGCCTGTAATTATCAGACAGGTTACACGGCAGGAGGATTTCACTCTTGAGTAACCTGTAACAAGCCGATCTGAATGGAGAAAAAGCTGTCGGCTTCAGACTTGAAACTGACAGCTTTTTTCTGCAGTGAAGCACGATGCTCTGTAACCTAACTACCTGTCAAAAACCGGATGCAGCGCCGCCTGTAATTATCAGACAGGTTACACGGCAGGAGGATTTCACTCTTGAGTAACCTGTAACAAGCCGATCTGAATGGAGAAAAAGCTGTCGGCTTCAGACTTGAAACTGACAGCTTTTTCCTGCAGAATACTAGGTGAGGCTCTGCCTCACCTGCCTCCCCTGACCGCAAGTCCCTGGTACAGAGATCAAGATCTCCGCTGTGTCCTTCAATGAACGCAGAGAAAAGGATTTTACATCGAGTCCAAAAAACAAATCCTATTTGTATAGCATTTCCTACCAACAATCAGTCACGCGTTTTAATAACATGCATAGGTGCAACACTATGAAGAGGTCATGAGGTGTGAGACTTAAATTGGGATTTAAAGGAAAGTATAATGTATTTTCAGTGATCACATACTTTGAGTTATTAATTCAGGCATGTGAAAGTGGCGTTTTGTTGGGCCACATATGGCCCTTGAACACCTTCTTTGTTGCCCTCAGCTGATTTAAGGATTTCAACTGTATGGGACCCCAAGATGTTCTCAGTTTGATAAAGGTTATACTGCCCACGTGATTATTCACCCAATACTTCAGGTTATATTTTATGGCCTTTTCTCTTGGATGAATCTTGTAACTAATAATATCAATACCAAATATCTGCCATAGAGTAAGTGCATTGTCCTCAGCGGGTTAGCACACTGATAGACTCGAGTTGTTAGAAGAAGCAGTTCAGCGTAACCTTTGGGTTGCACGGCAAAGTCACAGGAAGGTCATGCAATTGCAATGAGAACATTATTATTACAGGTATTTATATAGCGCCAACAATTTTACGCAGCACTTTATACAGTTGCACATTCACGTCAGTCCCTACCCTCAAGGGGCTTACAATCTAAGGTCCCTATCACAAATGCATACAGAGGGCCAATTTTTTTTAGAGAGGAGCCAATTAAGCATGTCTTTGGAGTGTGGGAGGAAACAGACGCAAGCACAGGGAGAACATGCAAACTCCTTGCAGAGAGTGACCTGGGATTTGAACCAAAGACCCCCAGTGCTGCAAGGCAGAAGCGCTAACCACTACACCACTGTGCTGCCCATACATTAGGATTGTAATTTAGAATGCTACTGGGATAATATAGATGTCCCCATGTTCATGTATAATTAAAATCCACAATTCATAAATAATTACCATAATATATAGTCATGCAATTGCAAGAAAAACATGGGGATTGTAATGTTGAACGGTATTGGGATAAAATAGACGTCCCCATGTTCGTGTATAATTAAAATCTACAATTCATACAGGGCCGGATTTCCCACAAGGCCAACCAAGGCCCGGCCTTGGGGCAGCAGGGAGTAGAGAGGCAGCAGGGGTGTGGAATTCCTATCTCCTGACGCCTGGGACACGCAGTTCCGGGCACCGGGTGGGTAGTTGTTTTCTACATATAGCCCTGCATTGGGCAAGCAGATCTAAATGTACAGCGGGGAAACCGCCGCTTGCTTTGTACAAGTGATGTCGGCGATGTCGGCGAGATCACTTGTATGCAGCCTGTAGGTCTGCCATTCTCCATGGGGATGAGGGTTTGGCGGGTAGGGGGGCGCATTGAGGAACCTGGCCTTGGGGCAGCAGAGAGAGTAAATCCGTCCTTGAGTTCATATATAATTACAATAATATATTATTACAATCTACAAAAAAAAAAACAAGGTTTCCAAAAACATTACTACACTTTGACAAGATAACATCAAGCTGGTCTCGTTCACAATAATATCCCCCCCAAAAAACATTGAAAAGACTACCCCAGGGCCATTATGGCATTGATAAAGCTGGTATATGCCATTATGGATTTCTGTACATATCTTCTTTCATTTTGCAGGTGTTCTGCGCTCGGCTGATGGAGGAAGCCGGAACAAAAGGTTCTTTCCCTATGGAAGTAGTTATGGGGATTTTCTCCAACATCTGTTCTATATATTGCTTCCATCAACAGTTCCTTCTACCAGAGCTGGAGAAACGCATGCAAGAGTGGTAAGCTTTATATCGCTGTATACAGACAATGGTCTGACCTTGCATGGTATGAGCTTCAATGAACAGCCAACTGCACAGGACTGTTACTCGACCAATCCATCCAAGGTTGAGATTTTGGCTAAGGGTGGGCATTAGTTATTTTATATTATCCACTGCAACCTTAAATTTCTTCCCCTAGACTTCATGGACGGAAGTGTATCTGACTTTTCAACGTCTGACACTCATTCTATCTATCTATCTATCTATCTATCTATCTATCTATCTATATATATACTGTCCTTCATAATGGTTTAGACAGATGATAAAAGCTGGTACTCAATCTAAGAGTTCTTAACAAATAGGTTTCTGAGAGAATTCAACATGTTGGCATCCACCAGAAGCTAAAATATCAATTTGGGATTTACAGATCCTTTAATGATTACCATAGATTTCTACTTCTAAATTCCAACTGGCAGTGGTGCAAATTAATGTTTTTCCTTTAAAGAGGGAAAAAATAATAAAATGAGGGGGGCTTATAGAGCATATTAGGATCATAACAAGGCCTCATTACTACATTGCCAACGTCTAGCATTACCGTCATCCTACTAATTGCCAGGTGTTAATGATCACATGTTGGTAGCACAAGTCATTCAGGTTATCATGAGTAATGCAGGTTTAAGAATTTAATGTCTAATGAGCAGTGCTTTCCGTAGGAATGAAGGTTGTATGGCCAAATTCCATTTGTATAAAGACCTTCTTAATTCCATTTTAGGGATACCAATCCTTGGATCGGGGACATCCTGCAAAAGCTAGCTCCATTCCTCAAAATGTATGGCGAGTATGTGAAAAACTTTGACAGAGCCATGGAGCTTGTGAATACATGGACAGAGCGATCATCCCAGTTCAAAAGCATCATCCAGGAGGTGCAGGTAAGAATGCTTTCCCAGAATCCAGAAAACGCACAACTATCCTTGAATATGTTACTTCAATTGTCAGCAGAATTTGACTTCCAATGGGATTTACAGGAAAGACCGAGCCCAAGCAGCAAAGCCTGCACTGAATGCCTATCGGTTTCTGTAGACAGGTTGTGATTTTCAAATCAAGCCAACTAGCTTGGCCCACTGATGGTAGCCATAGAGCTTCTGAGCTGCCCACTCAACTGTTTGGCTGAAGTTCTAAGCAGGATACCTCTGCCAGTCTCCAGTGTGGGGGTAGTCATAGAGCTTCTGAGCTGCCCACTCAACTGTTTGGCTGAAGTTCTAAGCAGGACACCTCTGCCTGTCACCGGTACGGGGTAGTCATAGAGCTTCTGAGCTGCCCACTCAACTGTTTGGCTGAAGCTCTAAGCAGGACACCTCTGCCAGTCAGCAGTGTGGGTGGGGGCAAGTGTAGAGGGTTATAATGTATCTTCTCTTTTTTTTTGAGAGAAAAGGTGTCTTTAGATCCATTATATACATTGCAAATATTGTATAGAGATTTCTAACTGCAATGCTGGAACTGTGATAGACCATTCCACAAGCTTCCTTGGGCAGAAGGAATTTGGGGTGTTAGATGGGTAGTGATGAGTGACTGAGTATGCTCAAGCCCATGAAAAACTAGCAGTGCCACCCCAGGTCCAATCAGTAATGGCCAGGGCATTCCCTACCACTCTGCTATATGTAAGAAAGGGTTGGGGAATGCCCTGTCCTCAACTGATTGGAGTGGGGTGTGTCATGGATAGAGCTGCAGCTAACGATTATTTTCAAAATCGATTCGTTAGCCGATTATTAAGTTCGATTAATCGGATAAAAAATAAAATACATTTTAAAAAATGGCTCCAGTGATGTACTACTAGTTTGTATTGAGATTGTAGTCCATCACGTGAGCAAGCTTGGAGCGGTGGAAGTTAAAAGGAAAAAAAGATGTGTGGTGTGCAATATAGTGAAATGGAAAGTGTAAAATTATACAGCAATCAATGCAGAATACCACCAGCTATAGAGGACTACAAAACCCAGCAATAGAACATTATACAGCGCAATTATAGCTGGCGGTATTCTGCATTGCGCTGTATAATGTTCTATTGCTGGGTTTTGTAGTCCTCTATAGCTAGTGGTATTCTGTATAATGTATTATCGCTGGGATTTGTTGTATTCCTCTATAGCTGGTGGTATTCTGCATTGCGCTGTATAATGTATTATTGCTGGGATTTGTAGTCCTCTATACAGCGCAATGCAGAACACCACCAGCTATATAGGAATACAACAAATCCCAGCAATACATTATACATACAGTGTATAATGTATTGCTGGGTTTTGTATTCTTCTATAGCTGATGGTACACTGCTCTGTATAATATCAAGCACAATGTACCATCAGCTATAGAGGAATACAAATCCCAGCAATACATTATAGAGCACCATGTGTGGGAAGTGCAGGCTTACCTGAGCAGTCTTCCAGCAACTTGCTTCTGAGATCAGG